TGTCTGTATATAAATAAAAATAAATAAATAAATATAAATGTATTTATTTATTTATTTATTTATATTTATTATTCATTTATTTATTTAGGTTGGTTTGTTTTGGTTTGTTTATATAAAGAGAGAGTTATAAGAAGAATACTCAAAGTCTATCAGGCGCAGAGACTCAGACTTTGTCTGTATATAAATAAAATAAATAAATAAATAAATATAAATAAATATAAATAAATATAAATAGATAGATAGATAGATAGATGTAAATAGGTTTGTTTGTTTATATAAAGAGAGAGTTATAAGAAGAATACTCAAAGTCTATCAGACGCAGAGACTCAGACTTTGTCTGTATATAAATAAAAATAAATAAATAAATATAAATGTATTTATTTATTTATTTATTTATATTTATTTATTTATTTATTTATTTGTTTGTTTTATTTATTTATTTGGGTTTGTTTTGGTTTGTTTATATAAAGAGAGAGTTATAAGAAGAATACTCAAAGTCTATCAGGCGCAGAGACTCAGACTTTGTCTGTATATAAATAAAATAAATAAATAAATAAATAAATAAATATAAATAAATATAAATAAATAGATAGATAGATAGATAGATAGATGTAAATATGTTTGTTTGTTTATATAAAGAGAGAGTTATATGAAGAATACTCAAAGTCTATATATTTATATTTATATATTTATGTATACAAATAAAATATAAATAAATAAATAAATATATAAATATATATATGTATATCTTTATATATATAAACATATACGTATATATACATTTTTATATTTATATACTAAACCCTAAACCCTTACGTATATACACATCCTTATATACTAAACCCTAAACCCTAAACCCTAAACCCTAAACCCTCACGAGTAGAATATTATTTTCTTGGAAATCATTGTGGCTGAGTACAGGATAAAACCCAGAAAGAAAAAGGAGACAGTTGTCTCCTTGTGTATTTAAAATATTTATATAAACCCTAATTTCTTCTTTTTTTTCTTCGTTTTCTTCTTGCTGCAGCTCCTGCTGCAGCTCCTGCTGCACCTCCTGCTGCAGCTGCCGCATATACACCCCATCAGCAGCAGCAGCAGCTTCTATCTTCTCTACTAGCCACCCCCCCTCCTTTATATATTCATTTATATTTAAACTTCTTAGCTTCCTTACAGTCACCTCCATCATATCATCACCAGGGGGGCCCCCCTGGGGGCCCCCCCCGTCCCCCTGGGGGCCCCCCACCGCCTGGGGGGCCCCCCCGTCCCCCTGGGGGCCCCCCACCGCCTGGGGGCCCTGGGGGGCCCCCGGGGTGGGGGCCCCCGGGGGGCCCCCAGAGGAGTGAGAAGAGGGTACTGGGGCCCCCTCGAGTACCACCTCGAGGGCCTCGTGAGCCATGCAGCCCCAGGAGTTGAGTCTGCAGAGACAGCAGCTGCAACCTTCAGAAATACATCTGCTGCTGCAGCTGCTGCTGCTGCTGCTGCTGCTGCTGCTGCTGATGCTGCTGTTGCTGCTGCTGCGGCTGCTTAGGGTACTGGTACCCTGCAGAGGAGATAGGAGACAACGAGCGGGAGGCAAAAAAGAAGGAACGGGGACAGTGTGGAAAGAGGCTATCTGCAACACAAACCCTAAACCCTAAACCCTAAACCCTAAACCCTAAACCCTAAACCCTCAATACAAAACCCTAAACCCTAAACCCTAAATAAGAAACCCTCAACCCTATATACGAAATAAAAAACCCTAGACTTTAAGGCCCTAATCCTAAACCCTTAAACACTAAACCCTTAGTATCTCCATACAAACCCTAAACCCTAAACCCCAAACCCTAAACCCTAAACCCTAAACCCTAAACCCTCGTTCTCACAGCTTTGACTGCCTTTTCCAGCATCTTCACATCGGTGAGGTCTTTTGTTGTTAGCGGTGACCCCACCAAGTACTCCTCTATTCTCCCGCCCTGCACAAACCCTAAACCCTAAACCCTAAACCCTAAACCCTAAAACCCTAAACCCTCGTGAGCGCACAACCACAATCCCTCATTCCCAAAGTAAATCAATTCAAACCCTAAACCCTAAACATAATACAAACCCTAAACCCTATCCCCCGCAACCCCTCTATCCCCCCCAACCCCTCTAACCCCTCTAACCCCTCTAAACCCTAAACCCTCAAAACCCTCTAAACCCTAAACCCTAAACCCTAAACCCTTACCTCAAACTCTGCTAAACACCTGGGTGCAATCCCCTGTCTCCCTAGGGTTTTAAACAGTCTCCTTTCCATCGCCGAGCTAAACAAAGCCGTACCCTGTTGGTGTCCATACACCCGAAGCAATGCCTTTCTTGTTTTTATGCTCGAGGGGCCCCCCTCTTCTCCCTCCTGGGGGCCCCCCTCGGGGGCCCCCCCCTCATGGGGGCCCCCCTCGGGGGGGGCCCCCTGTTCAGGGTTGAGCTGCAAGAGATAGAGCTGGTTGCTGAGGCCCCCCTCTATCTTTTCTACCGAGACAGCAGCAGCAGGGTACCGAGACCATCCAGCTAGGGCCCCCCTAGCTAGTGCTTGCTGCACCTGTGTGTTGTTTAGTAGCTGTATACGCAGGGCCTCTATTTTTTTTTTTTGTTTGTGTTTGTGTTTGTGGTTAGGGTAAGAAGGAGAAGACAGAAAAAACTCAAGACGAGCAGAAGAGACAGAAGGGGTGGGGGCCCCCTCCTCCTCCTCCTGTACCTCTTCAGACAGGGGGTGGGGGGCCCCCTGGTCGGGGGCCCCCGGGGGCCCCCCCCCGGGGGCCTCGGGGGCCCCGGGGGCCCCGGGGGCCCCTGGGGGGTATGGTACTGTCAAAGAGGGTACATGAACACAGACGAGAGTACAGCGGTCTTCGTCTGCTGCTGCTTCTGTTTCTGCTGCTGCTGTTGCTGCTGCTGCTGCTGCTGCTGCTGCTGGGCTAGCAGCAGCAGCAGCAGAGAGGGGGGAGTCGTCTCCCGTACCCTCGTGAGACTTTATATGAAAACAAAGTGTACCCTCAGCAGCAGGGGGGGCCCCTAGGAGCTGATGTGGGGGGCCCCCTGAGCAGGGGGCCCCCCAAAAGGTTTGTATAGCGGGGGTACGAGCAGCAAGAGGGGGGGGGGCCCCTCTTCTGCTGCAGGGTCTAGGGCTGCTGCTGCTCGCATTGATAGTATAAGTAAAGAGACAATATACATAAAACAACAACATAAACCCCCACCACCAGGAGGGGAGAAAGACAAAGAGAAAGGCGACATCCTTTGTGTCAGTGGGCCTCCTCCTCCTCCTCGTATTGACGGAGCGGCTGCTGCTGCTGCTGCTGCTGCTGCAGCTGCTGCTGCTGCTGTTGCTGCTGTTGCTTATGTGCCCTTTACTGTCTCCTTTATGGAATAATATTATTTAATTATATTATTTTATTTTAATATAAACAATTAAAATAAAACAAAAACAAGAAAACAGACACAGCCCCACACGAGCAGCTACAGGCGAGCACGGCCTTCGGGTGTATAGGCAGCTCAGCTGTTGCAGCAGCAGCAGCAGCAGCAGCAGCAGCAGAAGCAGCAGCTGCAGCGACAGCAGCAAACAAATAAACCTTCCTAATACAAAATGCTGCTGCAGAGAAGAGCTGCTGCTTCAACGGGGCCGCAGCGCCGCCCTGGGATCGGATCCCAGCAGCAGCAGCAGCAGCAGCAGCAGCAGCAGCAGCAGCAGGTACTCTGCTGCAGCAGGAGCAGCAAAAGCACGATATTCTGATGTATATGGGTGGTATTGAGAGAGAAATAAGAAAAAAAAATAATAAATAAATACAGAAACAATTAATATAAACACAAAAAGAACAAAAAAAACAGAATGCACGCCCCCAAGGAGACAGCCGAGCAGAAGGAGACAGTTGCTGCTGCTGCTGCTGCTGCTGCTGCTGCTGCTGCGGCCGCGTGTATATATACAGGGTGGGGTTTCTGTATTTTTATATTAATATTATGTTTAAATTATTAAATAATAATAATTATATTAATATTTATTATTATATTAATATTTAATTTATATAAAACGCAAAAAAAAAATATCGTTGCTGGCGTCAGTACCAGAGCTGCCTATACACCCCATGGGGTGTATAGGCAGCTCAAGCAAGAAGCGATCGATTCCCACCAACATTAATATAATAAATATATCATAAATAAATAAATAAATAAATAAAAATGTTTATAAATAAATAAAACTAATTAAAAAAATATTCTATAAACAAAATTATAGTAGATAAACAGACTGTGCTGCCTCACCCTAAACCCTAAACCCTAAACCCTAAACCCTAAACCCTAGATAACGATAGAGAGACAAGGCGGAACCGAGTCAAAGCCTGAAACAAAAGGCGAAATGCTCCTTAGGGTTCTAGGGGTTTAGGGTTTAGTATCTAGGGTTTAGGGTTTAGGGTTTAGGGTTTAGTCTCCTTCTGCTCCCTTTTCTATCGCCGATTGAACTGTCTCCTTTTGCCTCTCTGTTTGTCTCTGTCTCCTCTTTCTCTGTCTCCTTTTATCTTTTATATGTATTTGTTTTTTGGTTTATTATATTAGGGTTTAGGGTTTGTATTATGTGGTCTACTACACTAGGGTTTAGGGTTTACATTACATGGTTTATTACGTCAGGGTTTAGGGTTTAGGGTTTGGGTTTAGGGTTTATATATATATGTATATGTATATATATATATA